TCCCTCTTCAGTATATCAATCTGCTGCTGTAGCTAAGCAACAAAACTATATATAAAATTGAATAAAATAAAAAAGAATATAAACTTTGAAAATCCAAACATCACATCATGATGTCATATAATGTGTTCTGCATTTTTATAATTTCAAATACATTATAACAGTTTAACCATATCTTATAATTCTGATATATGTTCTACTTTGTAACAAACACAGAACATTTTCCTTTGTGCATGTATGGGCTCCACTGTTATTCTGGGAAAGACTATAGAAGTTTGAATTCTATGAAATTTAATGATAAAAAAATTACTGAAATTTACATACGTATACATTCCTGGAAGATTTCCCCAGAAATAGCGAGCCCGTTTTTGTGCAGTGAAATATTTTGAATCTATTAATGCTGGCTCACACTAGAGGAAGAAAAAAAGAAAAAAGTTTTTATTACTTCTTTTATAAAGTAAACCATTGTTAGCTTGTCAAAACAACAAAAACTTTTTGTATTATATTAAAGTTATTAGTCGTTTTGGCTTTGATATTTTTCGATAAAAAATATCAAATTAAAGAAAAGTAATGATCACCATAATTTCTAAATGAACCATACAGGATATTCTGAGATGATAAAAATTGATAGCAAATTTAGGTATTACATGAAGAAATAAATAAATTTAACAATTATGAAAAACATTTATATTAACAAATTAATGATTCAGAGAGAATGATTAAACTATAGCATTTTTTATTATCAATAACTCTGCATTTTGCCCTTACATTAATACTATAGTAGTCACCAATGAACTTAGACCAGACCACAATTAACATGCCATCCAACAGATAGGTTTAAAAAAAAGTAGCTTTGATTCATTGCATGAATGTTTTACATAATTTAAAACAAATATACTATAATTAATCTTTATTTTTGCTAAATATCAACTTGATATCTTACAAGTTTAACAAAATTGAGCCAGTCAAACTTGAGTCACAGGCATCAAAAAAAACAGACTGCTCATACACCTCCAAACCATGACATTGGCAGGAAATTACACTGAGCAGTTTAACAATGCTAGATCATTAGCTTCATTGGCAGATTGAATGACACATTTGCTTTTGTCTGTTGCTGATAATTTAAATTTTGATTCATCAGACCACAGAATTTCATGCCATTTTTGTTGAGACAAGGAAAGATGTTCTTTGGCCCACTGTACCTGTTTCTTCTTTTGATGTGCTGTGAGGAAAGGTTTTTCACGTGCTGCATAGAACCAAAAATGCATGGTGGTATGTTGGTAATTTCGTAGTTATGTTCTTAATTCTCACAACAGTATGATGAATGATTGTCCAGAAATGCATTTCTTGCAGTCTCCTGTATGTTGTCAAAACAGATACATTCTTTCCAGTTGTATTGTTCTATATTGGAGTTACATCCAATGCTGTAGCACAGCAGTTATTTTTTCCGATTTTTTTCAAACGTGGCTTGGTTAGTGTAATGAACAATAATCTGGGACACCTTTGTCTTGCTTAGCATTAGCTTTTTACTAATAGCTTTCTCAAACATGCCATAACTGTGTTTAGTAATGATAGCATCCCTTAAATCTTCTGAAACAGCTTTTCCTCTGACCATTATAGGCAAAATGCAAAGGTTTGTAAATAAAACTAAAGAAGCACCTTATATCATTCACAGGATCACTGCAGGCTAAAATGAGACCAAAAGAATCTAAAGTGAGGCTAAAATAATCAGGTGTTTCAGAAATACTGCAATTGTAACATTATTTAAATGCAATTTATTGGTTGGTCTATATTCATTGATGGGGTGACACAGCAGTCTATGTTTTTTGATGCCTGTGGCTCAAGTTTGACTGGCTCAATTTTGTTAAACTTGCAAGATATCAAGTTGATATTTAGCAAAAATAAAGATTAATTACTGTATATTTGTTTTTAAATTATATAAAACATTCATGCAATGAATCAAAGCTACTTTTTGTTAAACCTATCTATTGGATGGCATGTTAATTGTGGTCTGGTCTAAGTTCAGTGGTGACTATTGTATTTAATACATTCATTTTTACATAAATAAAACAGTTGTAAATGATATATTAGGATTTACCATACACCAACAACCAAATACTGTAAGGTCTCGTTTTATGCGGTGGATACATTCTACAGAAAAGCGCATATAAAAAATTTGCATAAAAAAAGACTTTACTTGCCTTGAAAAAGTAGGGATACGTTCCGTAATTTTCTAAAATCGCATAAAACCAAAACAACGAGTTAAAATTAACTTAAAACCGCATAAAAAAGTTTGCAGAAATTAAAAGACTGCTTAATAAATTACTTCAAATGTCTGAAAGAAATTCATATAAAAGCTTAAAATAAACTTGTATTCAAACTTAATTCAGTTTATTTTATTGAAAAGTAATACAAGGGGAATTCCCGAATTGCAAAAGCTCACTCTAAAAACAAATCACTGACATCTGGATGTGAAGAGTTTAATTAATTAAAAACACGGTTCTTAAGGCCATTTTTGAAAAATTTTTTTTTGAATTTTTGGAATGTTTTTTAAGTCTCCAAATTTTTTAAAAATATTTAAAAATATACGTCCAGCTAGTGTTCACCCTACTTTAAACCCTTGTCCTCCCACGACGTCTATGAGAATGCCCCGGGAAATCCAACTCCAGATATGTTCAAGGTCATCCAGATGTGTAAACAATGACTCATGGGTGTTAAATTTCACAGAAGGGCGAGACAAAGGAAGTTAAACTTTGAAGCTTTTTCTTCAAAATTAATGCATTTCTTTTGTTTTTTTCAGTTTTAAGTATTTTTTATGTTTAATTACATTTATATCAAAAATTGCTAGGAACTAAAGCGATTAAGGTATCTCTAGTTGTCCTTTACATCCATAAACGTTATATGTCAGTGGAACAAATGGAGTGAGCTTTTAGCGTTCCACGATTTTTCGAGACTATCTATACGCGGGCTTCCTAAACAAGCCTATATGTATGTTTGTCAAAGAAATTTTTGGATGAAATACAAACCGCACAACTTCAAAATCGCATAAAAATAATCTGCATAAAAAGAGACCTTACAGTATTTAAACATTTATTAAACTTTGGTTATCATAAAAACTCTATAATTTAAAAATTACAAATATATAAATTAACTAAAATGCATTTTGGAACTTGAGTTCCCTCTTCAGTTAGAACAGCGCTGTCCAACTTATCATAGCCCGCGGGCCATATTTTCTTCACCAAACATTTCGGGGGCCAAGAAGGTTGATAAACCACATGACATTTGCATAGTGGTACGGTTCAGTAAGCACTAATTGGTCAGCGAATCCGATGTTGACGCTATAAAAAGGCGACAGTTCGATATCCACACCGGATATACGTCACTCTCGTCTAAGTTCGACTTGGAAATTTTTTTGTTCAATAATAAATGTGAATTCTTCTTCGTGGAAAAAATAAGACATTCCCTGAAAATAAGACCTAGCTGCATTTTTCAGAGCAAAAATTAATATAATACACTGTCTTATTTTCGGGGAAACACGGTAGTAAAATAATTTTAATATTAATAATAATAATTTAGTAACATAAATTTATTCATAGTAAAATGTACTCACGGGCCGTAAAAATTATTTGGGGGGCCATATACGGCCCGCGGGCCGCCAGTTGGACAGCGCTGAGTTAGAATATTTTTACACATAAAACTAATCAACTTTTAAAAACTACAGCTATACATAGGTTGCTTGGAAAATTTTGTCCTCCAGGTTTATTTTTTAGTCTTTCAACATACTCTCCACCATACTTAATGCATCTTGCCATATGCTGAACCAGTTATCAAATTAGGCCTTCTGCTTTTCTTCCAGGAGATCAGCACACTCTTGATTCCCCACTGCCAGAAGCATCATCGCTGGAAAATCGCCTTCCTTTGAGACATTTTTTGACTTCTGGAAATAAGCCAAAGTCACAGGGAACAAGATCTGGATGTATGGAGGGTGATCCAAAACAGTTAGTCCAGACTTTACCAAATAGGTGACTGTATCCTTTGACCTGTGCACTGGAGCGTCATCATGGTGTACGAACCATGTGTCAAGCTGGGATCTTAGTCGGATGTTCCTCATGGTTTTTAGCAAACATTTTTGGGTATAACAAAAAATAGTGACTGTATGCTGTTTTTCTATTATGACTCTCTCCATAATACTGCATTTTCCAAAGAATGAAGCAATCATTCATTTCTTTGTCAAATGTGATTTTCAGACCTCTACTGTTGCTTCATTTTCAAAGAGCCAAACTTTGCTCTGAGATTTTGTTGGCATGTCTTAATAATAAAGCCAGGCCTCATCACCTGTTATAATGCAGCTAACATTCTTGAGTGTCCAAGACTCAAACCATTTAATAATTTTTCCCATCATTCTACTCTGTTGTGCTTCTGCTCCTCTGTCAGTGAATGGGATACCCAAAGTGAACAAACCTTTCTTAATCCAAAGTGCTTGTGCAGAATGTCATGAATAGATGAGGCACTAATATTCAATAGTTCCTGAAACTGCCGATAGGTGATTTGCCTGTCTTTGCTAAGAAGTTTCTTTACAGCAGCTATATTTTCTGACATCACTGCTTCTGCTGGCCTACCTGAGAGTGAGTCATCCTCCATACTAAAATTACTGCTTTTAAACTTTTTATTTTGTTATGGTCTTCAAGGAAGGACAATGTTTCCCTAAAACAAGAGACATTTCTGAAAAGCATTCATCTTTACTGAGATTATGTAAAATGTTGTAATGGATAATCATCTCATATTCGGTTTTTGTCTACACCATAAATTTCTTATATTTTTGCCCTGCAAGCTGGAAAAGTACTGGAAACAGGAAGTTGAATTGGAATTTACTCCACCCATTTTTCATGCTCCTTTGATTGGTGAAAGACTCATTTTGGTATAACCAATAGAAAACGTGTAGGACAAAACTTTCTGAGTGACTTATGTATATTGATAAAGTAAACTTAATCCAATTTGTATTACATTATAAAAAAATTAAAAAGATTAAAAATTAAAAAAATTTTAGCATTGAGAAATGATGCAAATTAAGTTAGTTTCATAATTAGAGATGTTTACATTGTAAATAATGAAATGAATCTATACAAAATTTCAATATAATTAGAATAGTCAGAAATTAATGAATATAAAATATTCAGTGATTAATGACGAAAACATCTATTGATACTTTAGAAAGATAGAAGTGTAGTATTTAAATCATTTAATTATTAAAATTAAAGCATTAATAACAAAAAGTTTAAAAAAATGTATTTCTGTGTTACAGACAATTTTAAAAAATTATGATTAGGAAATATTTAGATTAAGCAAAATTACAGAATTTAGTAGCTTTGAGTTAATAATTGAAAACTTTCAGAAAAAATATTATTATAAA